AAAGGAACTTATATGGGCAGTAAAAAGGGTTTTTGTTCATTCGGGGTTTGATCGCCCATTTCCAACCCCCATTTAATGGGGGAAAGGGTTAAAGTACAGCATGTCAACCGAGTTTTAAGTAATGAATCGTGTTTCTCAAAGTGTTTAGTACTGTTTTTTTTTTTAAAAAGTTTTGTTAAACATTATTGTTTTGTAAAAAGTATGGTCGAATTATTACTTGTTTAAAAAAAATCTTTGAAATAATAATAATTTAAAAATAAAAATAATAATAATTAAAAAAAAAATAATAAAAAAATAAAAAATAATAAAAATAATAATATTAATAATTTAAAAATTAATAATAATAATTTTTATTATTATTATTATTAAATTTTTAACAATATTGAAAAAAAAAATTACTTGCTGCGCAGAAGCTTTAAAATATTAAAACACCCTAGTTGGGGGACAGTTTGTGGTACAGTAGTGGTGAGGGGTAGTGGTGAAGTGTGCCCCCTAAAAATTAGTCAAAATGGGGGGAAAAAACCGTGGAACAAGTGGGAAAAGGATGGAGGTAATGGGGGGAAGATAATGGAAAAAACCTCCCACCCGGGTGTCACCTGGGGCTTATTATACACACGATACTCCTACGTTACTTCCATGTTTCAGGTTTTGGGTATTTTCAACAGCTATGAAACTGTTTGTAAATTTTATAAATTAAAGTCTTATGTGATGTTCCTTGTAAATAAACAGATTTTTTTAAGTGCACTCAAAAAGTGAGACATAAAATGAAATAAGTTGGGGGGTGTATCGGAAAGGGGGTTTTTGGGGGCAACGCCCCCGCGGGGGCGGTCCCCTGGCCCCGGCCCGTGGGGGATCAGGGTTTTGATCAAAAAGGCTTGTATGCTGGTTTTCAGGATAACGACGCATGAACCCTAGCCCCGGGGGGGGCAGGTACTGAAATTTGTGCCCGTCTAGTTCATGAAGACAAACCAAGGGGGGCCCATTTTGGGAATCCCCCTTATTTTTTTGCTGGGGGGAAGTTGACACTTACCCGTATTGTTTTTTAGCGTACCGTGGTGCCGCTGGGTTTTCATTGGGAGGGGTTTTCAGGGGGCCGGTCCCCTTCCTTTTATAGGAAGAAAATTTTCCCTGTTCAGATTTTGGGGGGCTAGTCCCCCTTTTCCCAAAGGGATATTACCATGTATCTTTCTCGCCTGCGTTCCAGGGAGTACAAATCAAAGGACATCAACCGTTCCCAATAATTTTGGTCCTTTGTGGTACTTATACGTGTCTTGAAAGTTCTCTGCATATTCTCAATGTCTGCAGTTTCGCCTGCCATATTAGTGTACAGCAATATTCCAGCCTAGAGAGAACAAGCGATTTGAAGTGAATAATCAAGGGCTTGGCACCTCTAGTTTTGAAGGTTCTCATTATCCATCCTATAATATTCCTAGCAGATGTTGTGCATAAATTGTTGTGATCTTTGAAAGTGAGATTCTCTAACATTATCACTCCCAGGTCCTTCACATTAGTTTTTTGCTCGAGTCTGTGGTTGAAATTTGTTATATACTTCAGTCCACGTTTTATTTCCTCGAGTTTTCCCAAGCAGAGTAATTGAAATTTGTCTTCAATAAGCTTCACATTGTTTTCTGAGGCCCATTTAAAAACTTCGATGGATGACACTGTCATGCAAATTTGCATATCATCTACAAAAGAGGACACAGTGCTGTGGCTTACATCTCTGTTTATGTCAGATATGAGGATGAGAAAAACGACGGGAGCGAGTACTTTACCTTGTGGAACAGAGCTTTTGACTTTAGCCTTCTCTGACTTTACTCTGTTTACTATTACTCTTTGTATTGTGCTCTGTTTATTAGAAAGTTATAGATCTATCCTTCCTGTTTTATTGTTATTCCTTTAATACGCATTTTGTGAGCTGTTACCCCATGATCACACTGTCGAAGAATTTCGCAAAGTCTGAATATACTAAATCTTCATTTTGTTTGTCCTCCAGAGCATCTAAGACCATGGCATAGTGGTCTAGTAGTTGTGTGAGGCAGGAGCGACCTGCTCTAAACCCATCAGTTGCACACCCATACTTTCCTGGGTGTGCAACTGGTGGGCATCTAAGCGGTTGGCGATCTTGCTTCTTAGAACCCTTTCAATGATTTTTATGATGTGGGACATTAGTGCTATTGGTCTGCAATACTTTGCAGTTGTTTACTGCTACCTTTATGAAGTGGGGCTCTGTCTGTTGTTTTTAGTGGCTGTGGGATGACCCTTGTCTCTATGTTCTATTCATAGAATATTTAAGGGACGTGAAAGGATTTTTTTGTAGTTCTTGATGAACACGGTGTTCCACGAGTTTGCTGAGCCTGGGGAAGAGTGCATGGGAAAGTCATTTATCGCTTTTTCAAAGTCCTCTGGTGTTAGAATTATATCAGAAATTCTTGAATAAACCAAATTATGAGTCTTTATCATTATTGGCTCACTAAACGTAGAGTTATAATGGGGTTTTATATTAAAACTACTTACGCATTACTTGGTATATGAATAAGACACATGCGCAACACATGGCTTTATCAGTCACATTCTGGAGAATGTGAAAGATGTGACGAAACATTTTGTGGTGCTCTGTCCCTCAGCTTCGAAAGTAGTTATTTTTTTTAGTCATTCAGCTTTAAGGAATCTAAAGCATATGGAGAGAATGGTTTAGAGGAAAAATGTTATCTCATAGATGAGAAATAGATATCATAGATAGTGACGAAATCGGAATACGGACCGATCACAAGTGGCATCCTAAAAGGATTAGATTAATTCCCCATTTTTTTTATAATTTGCATAAATAACCTTGCTTTTGGAATAAATAATGACATTAGTAAATGCACTGACGATACAAAAATAAGCCGGATTTCAGCAACTTCACCTCTCTCCAGTCTCCACGTGCATCTTCTTAAGATACATTAAACCTGAGGGGCTGAACACCTCGCATTACGTCTTCCCATCTTCTTTTCACTCAAGTTACAATCTAATCAACTTTTTAAAAGTGTAGTCTGGCCACTGCCTCATTACCTACACACAGTTCTTCATTGTGAGTAAAGACTTTCAGCTTGTTGACATGTATTATTCTTTGTTCATGGTCATCAAATATACCTTTATCAGTATAATTCACTGGTCATATCTTTTCGTGACTCGGTTTAGATGTTTCCATCTGGGACCTTATGAGACGCTATGTTGTCACACTGAAGCCACATTAATCTCTTCAAGGATGATACCTTAATTAAGGTTATGATGGATATAACTGGCTTGTGCTTTATTAGAAGAGATAGCGCCTACTCTCCAGGGAGCTGCCATTCTGGACAGGACATCTAAGCGTCAAGTCTCTCCATACAACACTGATGTTTGTTTAACTAACCTTGAGGGAAAATGGCTTCTTTTGCCCAGGAATAAAATGTTTGGCTGAATAACGATTGATGTATTAACAGCCATAATTAATGCTTGAATGATAGGTGCATCCCTGGAGTGCGTTCAGTCAAGCTAACTAATGCATTTCTAATTGTCTGGTTTGTTAAATCGCCATCTTGTTTTTTTGTATATGATAGGCTATGGTTGCTCTCAGCGGAGGTAGGAATGTCCCTATACTCCCGTTTTTATGGAGACACCAGGTTATGAAGCACATAATTGCATATTTAAGCTTGAAAAGACGTTGGCCAAAATAACCAAAAATTATTACTGGCCAGAAATGGCAGTTAGTGTGGCTGTTTGTCAGGACGTGGGCCTCTTGCCTAACATATAACCTGAGGATCCCATTAAGTCAGCTTCTTTATACTTTTCACCAGCATAATGGTAAACCTTTCTCTATTTGGTCTTTTTCTTGTATTGGACCTTCGCCTGAGTAAGACATTCCGAAGCATACAGTTATGTTGAATACCAGCGAGATCCTCAGCAAGAGCTCTGGGAGATTATTTTTATGTAAGTAAAGGGTGTGCAAAAGATCCACTCGGACTAAAGTTAAAACTACACATTCCTATGCTAAACAGAACGTAGTTCCAGACACAGAAGTCAGTGAGACTATCTCTCTTTCATACCTTCAACAATTACCACTTTCAGGTAGTAAAATATAATTTAGGACATATTGATCTTTGAAATCCTCTTTGCTTTCCTTAACATTTTTCATTTGTTTACAACACAATCGGCCAGGAAATTTTCCCTTGTGTTTTCTCAATAAGAAGAGCGATAATTTAATATCAGATCTCTTACTCTTGGAGACAGGAACATTTAAAAAAAATATATATTATATATACATGTACTTATATTTTGGAATTCATCATAAGTTGCAATGTGATTGAGCGTTTTAAAACTGTTTTTCGTGTTGCAGATTGCTTTTTAGGGCGCTTTTCTGTACTTTATATTTTCACTTTGGTACATAATTCGGCTAGAGATTTCGATACACTAACTTCTTCAGGATGTCAAACTTTGGATGACTTCGAAGTATCTTAAAAGGGACCTTTGAAAGCTCTCAGGGTATGATGTCTGCAAGGCCATAATGTAAACAAATTACCTTGACATTGCACTTCTTCTAATTAGTAACAATATGTACATTTTAAGTCACTAAAGTGTTTACAAAGTGTATGAGTAACTCTGAGCTATATTACAACCTAAATGTTTAGAATAGGTTGTTTGCATATTTGTAAATGCCCAAATATTTTATCAATTTCCTTCCTTAGTGTTATAATGGAAATACAAAAACATTTTTTGACCTGTCATTACTTTCGGTGAATCTCAAAAATCACTCTTAAACACAGAAATATAACTGTTCACTCTACATCCTATTGAATGATGTATTTCTTGATTAAAACTGATTATTGTAGTAAATTAAATATCTTGGACAAGGTGTGCGAAAGGAATAGATGAACAGTAGCAGTTTGCTCTCATGTGGATGGCAGAAACTGTGCAGCACAACGTCTCCTTCACAGATACAAAGAAATATCCAAATTATGGAACAATATTCACTTCCTCAGACGCCTGAATGAGGGTGTTGAGGCCGGCGTGGTGGTGGAGGCAGAGTCAGTGTTTTCACAAGACCAGGTAGCACAGAAGAACCTCCTCCAGAATTTATGGAGTCATACCACAACAACCTGTACGACACTCATTCTTGATCTCACCTCAGTAAACATCACCAACCTCGTGTTCAGGTAATGTTTGTTTAGAACTTAGTCCATCTCATTAATTACTACTGAAAATAATCGATCAACAATTTTTAATATACTTTTTTTATTTCCAAAAATTATGTAAGTTTATATAGTAATATCTCATCAGACCTTTTTTTCTGTGCTGCAGAGATAAAAATTTATGTCAGGAGTTACACAGTTTTTTATTTTTCATTGTTATTTTTCGGTGATTTATGTATGGCGTAACAGAGGAAGCAGGTCAGAAAAGACTTGTCCCAGAGCACAGCACACATATGCCATATTTTAAGGTTATTAATGCTCGTATTGAAAAGAAAAAGAAAAAATGACATGATAAGGAAACCTGAGACCTTCGTAGGACAAAATAATTTGTTCACTTATAATTAACCTCCCTTCAAATAAGTAAACAAGGAAATAAATTCAGCAAGAAATTAACTAATTGTTACTTACGCTTAGTATGAATATCATTTAAAGTTTTTACATTTGTCTTGAGAGTGCACATGTTATATAGGTATATGGTTTAGAAAGACACGTAAGCAAACACTATGACATATTTATTAGAAAACGTTTCGGTCCTGGGACCTTGATCACTTCTAACATACAGAGGTAGAAAGACATTATATATATAGGCGGAGAGTGAGATGTGACGCCTATATATATAATGTCTTTCTACCTCTGTATGTTAGAAGTGATCAAGGTCCCAGGACCGAAACGTTTTCTAATAAATATGTCATAGTGTTTGCTTACGTGTCTTTCTAAACCAACTTGTCGGTATTTATAACCAAGGTTTATACCATATAGGTACATACAACTTCCATTATGTAGATTTAACTTTGCGAAATATAATTAAATTCAGCACTGTAAATTTATTTCTTATAAAAAGGGGCATTATACAGTTTTTCCAGGATAAATAATTCCTATAATAAAAATGGAATATTAAAATTTATACGACCTAAAATCAAGGAGAAACTTCGCTTGAGAGTTTGAACGCGATCAAATGACGCATTCTAGAGTAAGAGCACAGAATTAACAAAACGTAATGTTAGAGCAAGACTAGAAAACATTTCACCCATCAAATATTGGAGTAAATACTGAAGTCGTTCAAAAAGATTCTCATATAATCAGAAGGAAGCGCTAAACTCCTAGGAGTCATATATAGGCTGGAGAATGGGTGGTTTTTAGACACTATCCAATAAAGGGGAGGATAAACCCCGTTCCTTGAATCAAGAGCCCCTCGCCAGCATCAAAGGTATACTCCATTTATGGAATGCAAAAATTAAAAACCATTTTGACATTAAAAGTGGCGGAAGTATTTGTATACACTCCACTAAAACCTTCATCTAAGGTAAATACACCAGTGTTGAAATTTTGAAACCGGGAAAATGGAGGTTCATAATGTTATTGCAAGGAAACCAGATTGGGAAATGATCTATGTGAAACTGATCAGAGGTCACCTCAGTTGTTCCACCATCATTTATCTAGAGGTTAAAGGTTTGAAAAAATGAAGATAATCAGACAATGTAGTTGCAAGGTAACATTTATGAATTGATTCAGAGAAGCGGGTTAGCCGAACTTGAGTCCTGGAAGTGAGAAGTACAGTGGCTCCACTCTGAAGGAAGAGTAGGGGAAAACTGCAGTTATGAACTGTTGAAATGGCGAGCTTGTGGCAAGACAGTGATGGAGTAAGTATGGAGAAAGTTTTTTTTATTTTCTAATCACCCATCTTCTGTGATGGATGGTTAGTTTGTAGAGATGAAAAAAACGTTTGGAGACCAACAAATAAAGTGCTGGATATTAACAAATAAAGTGTTTCTTTTTCAGAATCGTAGAAGCATCAGGGTTATGGAAGCTACCACAGACTCGGGTTATGATTGTGGGAGGAAGAGCAGGAGTGAAGGAGGTTCTCTTACACCACAGCCTCCGCAACACCATCCACGCCATCTACTTGGCAGTCCACACCAGCGCTCTACTTAACTTAAGTTTCCGTGCATTACAACGGCACCGCTACTCATACCTCCAGGAAAAGGTCACTTGGGAAGGTGAGAGTCTGTCTTTAGGATTTTCTAGGTGTATATTATCATGTATCTCTCCCATCTGCGTTCCAGGGAATGTAAATCAAAGGACTTCAACCGTTCCCAGTAATTTAGGCGCTTTATCGTACTTATGTGTGCCGTGAAAGTTCTTCGTACACTCTCCAGGTCAGCAACATCGTCTGCCTTGAAGAGGGCAGTTAGTGTACAGCAGTATTCCAGCCTAGACAGAACAAGCCATCTGAAGAGAATCAACATAGGCTTGGCATCCTTACTTTTGAAGGCTCTCATTATCCATCCTATCATTTTTCTAGCAGATGTGGTAGATACATTGTGGTGGCTTTGAAAGTCCTTCACATTAGTTGCAATTTGTTTTATATTCTGATACAGTTTTAATTTCCTCAAGTTTTCCATATCGTAGTAATTGAAACTTCTCTTCACTGAACTTTATATTGTTTTCTGCTGCCCATTTGAAGATTTGGTTGTTGTCGCTTGGAGTCTTGCGGTGTCTTCGATGGAGGTCACTGTCATGAAAATTCGGGTGCCATCCGCAAAGGAAGACACGGTGCTGTAGCTTACATCCCTGTCTATGTCAGATATGAGGATAAGCAACAGAATGGGGGAGAGTACTTTGCCTTGTGGAACAGAGCTTTTCACTGCAGCTGCCTCAGACTTAACTCTGTTTAATATTGCCCTTTGTGTTCTGTTTATTAGGAAGTTATAGGTCCATCAATCAACTTTTCCTGTTATTCCTTTATCACGCATTTTGAGTGCTATCACACCATGGTCACACTTGTCGAAGGCTTTCGCAAACTCTTTGTATACTTCATTTGCATTTTGCTTGTCTTCTAGTGCATCAAAGACCTTGTCATAGTGGTCCAGTTGTTGGGACAGGCAGGAACGACCTGCTCTTTATAAACCCATGTTGCCTTGGGTTATGTAACTGATGGATTTGTAGGTGGTTAGCAATCTTGCTTCTTAGAACCCTTTCAATTTTTTTTATGATATCGAACGTTAGTGCTAAGGTCTGTAATTCTTTGCAATTGCTTTACTGCCACCTTTGTGGGGTGGGCTATGTCTGTTATTGTTAGAGACTGGGATGACTGCTTTGTCCATGCTCCCTCTCCATAGAATGTTGAAGGCACGTGAAAGGGGCTTCTTGCAGTTCTTGATGAACACGGAGTTCCATGAGCCTGGGCCTGGGGCTGAGTACATGGGCATGTCATATATTGTTTTTTCGAAGTTTTGTGGTGTTAGGATATTATCGGAGATTTTTTAATGGTTCACTAAACACTGAGTCACACTGGGAAACTTTAGTAGCTCACTCATTTCTTTCCTTTCATCCTTCCTTTGTAATCTGAGTGTATTGTCCTTGATACAGTTATATTTCGTATCAGATCATCATTGTTAGTGAAGATAAGGTCCTGTGTATTTTCTACTCTTTCAGAGTCTGTTATTTGTTGGTTTAAGGTGACTTATTTATTATTAGATTATTGTAAACTTAGCTAAAATATATTTAGTTGAATTAAGCAAAATTAAATTCCGCTTGTTATTATGTATATATATTTAATGTTTCTTTTAAAAGTACCAACCTGCTGTGAAGTGCTCGTTTACCGACGATGTCTCTTCTGCAACAACGGGGAAGCTGGGATCAAGGTAATAAACAAAGTGAACTTCTCTATGATGTCCCACCTGGAAGACACCCAATTTATTGGTGAGATTTATTCGTGTTTCTTCGTTGAAAACACTTGTTTGACAGTTTTTCCCCTCTCATTATTAATAATAGGTAAACAACGTATTATTCATGTTTATTATGCTTAAGTTTACAGAGTGTTTTCTATTTTGTGATTCTGCATTTGAAATGTAATTAGCTCAATGCATTTTTGCAGTCACCATCCTCAGTGATTCTGTTTATAATAAGTGGTGAATGACAAGCCATTTCCGTCTCTTTGTTCATTTCGTTATGATGATCTGTTACTGAAAATGAGTCATTACAATGAGCTGGAACATGATGGAAGTTTGATTTTGATGTTTATACTCAGGATGTACGAATGAAGAATCCAGTAAAATATCTTAATTGCTGTTAGACATTGATCACGTGACCAAAGTGGGAAATAATCTCCGTTCTTAGCTGATTATGGGAAAGGTTATCAATGACACTTGATAAATCATTTATTTAATTAGCTGACTATGATTTAGTTATCTATTACATTCATCAGTTAGTATTTTCAGTAGTTGTTTTCTAAATAGATGGAAGTATTTCCAGGGAATTCAAGATAGTGGGGCATAAATGTCTGTTCTCATTTTGCATGTAGCAATGTTAATGATAATGATATTCACGTGGTTCACTCGGACAGAGGCTGTGCTGACATAGACTTCCTAGAATCTAAATGAGAGAATGTTATTAAACAATGTCACACTGCCCCCCCCACCCCCCAGCAATTAGGGGGAGGTCACAGGCGTCGGAGTTCATCTTTCTAGATCAATGCCTGATTTATGGTGAAGAATGTGTCAATGACCTACAATTTTTATATGTAGTAACGTAACAGGAAAGGCAAGACCACTGCATGCATACACAAAAATGATGACTGGGCAAGAAATGTGGAACTTAGTATCTGTTACTTTATTAGGATAAGTTCAGAGAAATACAAGTAGCATATCAAGCAAGCAATAAATAGGTTATTATGCCCTCAACTATTACACTGAAAGTGTGTGGAAACTATTCCACTGTATTACATGTGAATTTTATATTTTGATGGCTAGCTGACAAAAATGTATTTCCAGTCTGACTAATTATTTTCGGTAACTAAATACTATCATGAATGATGCAGTAATGGGAAGAATGTGGAGACACTGGTGCTTAAGGTCAAGGCTGAAGCTGAGGCTGCATTTCATTCTCGTTATTATAACCTAAACGACTTGCCAGCAGCATAAGTCCCCACTTCTTGTTATTGTCTCTCACCACAAAATTATAAAGTGAAGGGAAATAGCGTTAAGTTTCATTAGCAAAATTTAAATTTAGCAAATCAAACAACCAATGGTCTTGTACTCAAGTTGCGCCATTAGTCAAAGAATTTTTGTTTGATAAAGATTACTGTGAACACTGTTTTCTTACTACCTATTACGAGGTGTTGCGATTTCACAATTGTGCTGCCAAATTTGTCAGCGAGAATAGCTATAACATTCATGAAGTTATGGGCTTAATGACTATGATGGATCTATTGTACATGCTCAAAAGTCGTCGTGAGACTCATGCCATGGCAATCCAGTTAGAATAATATCCTGCAGGAGTCAGTGAATTTTGTTTCAGAGTTAGGGGTAATGACGCTAGCTATTCCTCGTCTAAGTGATTCAGTTTCAGGCTTTCTATTTTTGGGCAATCAGTCGGTTCCTCTGAAGCATTATACCGGTCCTAAAAATGTAATCCCAGCAACTGTTGTGTATACACCATAACCAATAATGGAGTGGTCTATGCTAAGAAGATGACTTTTGTATGTGTTCAAATCAAAGATGATGAGTAATTTAATATTCTGATGTCTAAGTAATGCACTTTTATAGGGGGATCTGTGTACCTCCAAATTCCCGATCATGAAAATGTTTGGCCTATTGACGCCGCAAACTCACACCCAGATGCACTGTCCTCGCTATTCTGACATACTTCAAACAGTCTTTTGATAATCTCGTGATGTCCCCTATAAACGTCCCAGCCAGCAGGCGGCTATGTATGGTGCCCATGCAATTAAATAAACACAAATCATTGGACATCTGCCGTTCACAGACCAAGTGAAATGCATACGCTTAAGACATTTCCTGGATGCTTCGGTCACAGATAAAGAGAGGACATTCTAGTTGGCGTTGCGTACTGTGCAATGAAGTCTCGTAAATGGCAAGTTGTGGGTACAAGTACAAGCATTTTACATATGGGTACAAGTACAAGCATTTTACTTGTGAGTACAAGTACAAGCATTTAAATTATTTCAGCAACCCTCCTGTGTGATTTCCTGAAAGATGGGGAGAAACTGTAAAGGAAATTGCTATGTACGCAGAGTAAGGGAATGAACATCACAAAGCTTATAGCTCACCACTTGTTGTGTCTTGAAAGAGAAGGTAACTGATTTCGTCAGTAGATTTCGTCTGCAGATGGCACCTTTTCCAGATGTGCCACCTTTCATCAGTAAGTGCCAACATTTACTGCAACAATGACGGGTAATGAATTTCAGTTCGGCGATCAATTTTTAGAATAAACATATTAAGAAGGGTTCAAGGGATAACCTGATCGCCTGATCAGGTGGCTATCTTGATTATTTTCTATCATGATTGCAAAAGGTGAAGCACAAGGAGGAGGAGGGAAGAAGCAGGAAAAGCTAAAGTCAGGCGTTGTCAAAACACTCATACCCACTCTGCTCTACTGGCACTGATTTCTACCAAGTTGTGAAAGTGAACAAGAAGTTAGCAAATATATCATTGGCAGTAATGCTGTAGAGAAAGGTTGATATTGATAGATGTCTTGCGTGATTCTTTGTATTATGGTGTTCTCCTTCAACTCCCTCATATAGTGAAAACAGTGAAATTCATGAAGTATTTGATTAGGGTTGGTCAGAGAAAGACAGTTTATGACATGGGCACCATCTTATTCTTTTACTAGTTGTCGGAGAGCAGCACTGGTTTCCATTTTCATTATTATTCCAGTTTAAGTTATATGTAGTCCTGCCCTATCGACGAATACATTGTTAAAGGAAGACAAACATGAATGGGCTAGTCAACACAGACTGGGTGAGCTGTGACGTCAGTCTGTAGATCCTGACATGATCGTAACTGCCATGCAGCTTTTGTACCATGTGGTCTGGCCATGTGGGATTATTCTAATTCCGGTCAGGCTACCAGAACACATAAAGCCCTATGCTGTTACAATACAGAGACCCTTTATGATGCCATCATGAAAAAAAAATGGTTAGTTCTGTCACTGGTCCGTTGCTCCGACAGTCTAAGGCAGGGGTCTCCCCAAACTCCAAACTGCTGTTGCATGTGTGGTAATGACTACTGCAGTCCACTACTAATGTAAGATGAAAAGGGAAATAAAGTGACAGAGGAGTCAGGAAAGGAGCAAAATGGGCAGTGTTTACTCTTCACGTGTACAGATATGTACTATATCCCATTTTTAATTTTATCTCATTTATTTCATGATTAATAAACTTCTTTTACGGCAGTTATTGTATATTGAAGGTTAATTCTGTTGGAAGCAGAAATATTACTACTAATATGAATAATATCTTGTTATTTTCTCCTTTCAACCTCATTCATAATATATTTTTAACACCTGACCAGTGTCTGACGAGTTTTAAATCACTACCATTGGATTCTACCCTGAAGCCTGAACATAGACACCGAGATCATTGTATATATGCCAGTCAAAAATTATGACGAATTCTATGTTTCAGTCACAATTGTGAACACTTTTGAGTTATTGCTGGGAAACACTTACACTGCCATCCAGTAGATCTCTTATAGGGAATCCCTGAGAATTGCAAATTTGCCAAAAAAATAAAATAATAATGAGCTGCTCACAGTTTCTTCTTTTAGTATTGGATATAAAGGAATGGCAAATGGACTAGAAGGATCTTAATGTAATTAACGTTAATTGACACTGAATTAAGAAACTCTTTTTTCTAATGATGGAATAATACACTTGAGTATTTGCAGTTTGCAAGGCGAAATCACTACTTAACTTTAAAACAACATTTTCAGATGAATCTCACAATTTCATGGGTCACAGGATGAGATTTGCAGTCATTCGATATTTCCCATACTCGGACTACACACCGTTGACTGAGGAGGCAGGAAGCCTAGTCCTGTTCCGAGACTGTGTTGATGCAAGACTGGTGATGGTTCTGTCCTCTCTGCTCAATGTCAGGTAGAACTTAAAAATAATTTTGTTCCTAAAATTCTTACTTAATGCACTGAAAGTATTTACAAATAAAAATGCTGATTGGTCTAATTCATGAACAATTCGGACTAAATAATGTCTTTGGATGTTGTAAAATGAATGAGGTGAAAGAATTTTTTGTTATATTTCATAATCTTCGTAAATTGCATATCCTCGTGGGGAGTTTTAATGAGTTTTGATGGGTTTTATAAGTTTTAATGAGTTTTATAAGTTTTAATAAGTTTTGAGTTTTAATGAGTTTTATGAGAACAAAGGGCAAGGAAAATAATAGACATGTGCAACATCTGGGTATCTTTGATGTAGATGTTTCGCCAACCAGAGGCTTTATCAATACAAATTCAAGGGCATAATTAGTATTACATCCCAGGATTCCAAATGGCCTGTTATCCCGGGTGTAATGGGAGCAAAATAAACACAGTAGAAAAAGTTTAGACTTATATTATCCTTCACCAATTTAGAACAGCAATATGTGCACTATGTACAGAGATAAGTATAGTGCACTCCACGGTAAGCAAAGCAGAAATAGAAGCCACAAGATAGCAGACCGTGCTTCAACCAGCTCTAGAATGGGAATGACAAGGGCAGACAGGAGAGCGGTACCCACATAACCTCTGCGATTGCCAAAACCATCTTCTTATTGGCTAGAACCTGGTCACTAGTTGAACGACGGGGCCCCATCATCAACTCTTAGCAACCTGGTTCGCTGGTTGGGGGAGATAGCCTGTAAATGAGGGTGTGTACATGCGCCGAATAAAGGTTACGTACTCTTTGCATGCCACAATTAGTAAACAGTAGAACCATATACAAAAGATGAGGTAATTGATCCTTCAGGCTGAGGAACTCATTACCTCATATTTTGTACATAGTTCTTCTGTTTTCCAATTTGTATTGATAAAGCCACCAGTTGGGAAAACGTCTACTTTAAAGATACCCAGATGTTGCACATGTGTCTAATTTTCATCTTGTCGGTACTGTATATCATACAGGGACAGTGAACCCAGAGGAAGGACAATGGAAGGCAAACAACGTTTATGGAAATGGGATTAATATATCGCCAATATTATCATTTCATCTACGTCTCTAAATTAAATATTTAGCGGTTAAATGAGTGATATTGCTTAATGAATAGCCTGATTCATGAATATTAATTATATAATGGTGAATGGGGAAGGTTATAATGTAATATGTTGTGCTGGCGTTGGTTAAGTCTGTTAGTTAAGTCATCTAGACCGTCCTCGTGAGATACTTTTGCTTCTCCTTAAATGCCACAGGATCTTCGTTCACAGGCAGGTTGGAGCAACAATAATGAAAATAATAAGAATGGAAACTTCAGTGGAAAATAAGATGGAGGCTGCGTACAACGAAGAATTCAATGATTTCGGCTAAGTTTAGTCTTATATTAAATCTTTGGAGACATCGAAAGATGTTGTAATTCTTAGGAGAAAAAATTCTCTATATAAACAAAACCTTGGAAGTCAAGAACTCTCGTCTGAGTTATTTGATTATTATTGTATGAGAGGTAAACTAAAGAACGTTGAACCAGACTGTGCTTCATACCTTGTTTTTGGTATTTGTGTCTCTGGTTGCCACGTCGCTGACTATGAAAATGTAACTTGTCAGGATCAGGAAGAGGCAGTTATCATCGATGGAGAAATAGACGTGGAAAGTGTTTTCAATATTTTTCAAGGACGAATGAGCTAATTTGTTCATACTCAAGAACTTTGTATAAAAGACTGTCTCATTTATCTAGAGGTAGTAATTTTTCTCTACAACAATTAAAAAAAAATATCTTTTTTTTTCAAACCAGAGGTCAACTTTTGTTGCAAAATTCCTCCAAGACAAAGGTATTTCTGTGTGATTTCCAAATGCGACAAGAGGAAATTCACAAAGTTGATCAAGGTAGTTCTGTAAGGATCTGTGCAAGTCAACAGTGCTGTCAGGGCCGGATTTAGGGAAGGGGTCCCGGGCCCTCCACCAGAAGGGGCACAACACCAATTAATGAAAAATATTATGTCACATATTACACTGAGAACAGAATAGATAACAAAAACAGAAAATGTATGCAAGAGTTTGAATTGTGGTGGGATTGTCATGTTGAGTCATCTGATCGCTGGTGTAACTTCATTGGTGCAAGAGCGTCATCATCTGCATGACACGAGGATGACTCACACCACATCATCATCCTGGGTGTGCAGGGCGCTGCAATGTGAATGACTGCTTGATCATGGTCAGTATGAGAACAACAGTGTGGTAGAGAGAACCAGCTACGAATGAGCATGAAGCAAGGGCGGCTCATTGGATTTCGATGGAGTCATCAGAGATTTTTCCATCACAAGAGCATGGAATGTACCTGGCTTATAATATTTTATCTGATTAAAGATAACTTCTCATAAGTCTGTACATTACTTTTGAGTTCCACTTGCAAATGAACTGAAAGAGTGCTAAATTTTTATTTTTTTATTAACACTTAAGCCGTTTCCCACAAAGGCAGGGTGGCCAGAAAAAGAAAGACTTGCATCATCATTTACTCCCTCATTGTCTTGCCAGAGGGGCACGTACACTAAGTTATAAAACTGCAACAATAACATCTCTCCTTCAGAGTGCAGATACTGTACTTCCCATCTCCAGGACTCAAGTCAGGCCTGCTGGTTTCCCTGAATCCCTTCATAAATGTTTCCTTGCTTACACTCCAACAGCACGTCAATTCCTAAATCCATTTGTCTCCATTTGCTCCTATCTAACACACTCATGCAAGCTTGCTGGAAGTCCAAGCCCCTCACACACATTACTTTCTATACCCTCTCCCTCCAACATTTCCTAGGCTGACCCTTACCCAGCCTTCCCTGCGCTACAGATTTATACACTCTTATTCTCTCCATATACTCCTCCCTCCTTGCATCACTTCTACTTTGTAAAAACCTCTCATATGCTAACTTTTTCTCTCTTACTACTCTCTTTACATCATCATCCCACCAATTGCTTCTCTCCACTCCCGCACCCACTTTCCTGTAACCACAAAATTCTGTTGAACACTCTAACACTATATTCTTAAACTTACCCCATACATCTTCTACCCCGTTGCCTATACTCTCACTCCAACAGTTGTTTATATCTTAACCTAGCTGCCTCCTCCTTTAGTTTATAAACCTTCACATCTCTCCTACTTCCTGCTTCCATTTTCCTTGTATCCCATCTATTTTTTTATTCTCACTGTAGCTACAACTAAAAAGTGATCTGGTATATTTGTGGCCCCTCTATAAACATGTATATCTTGAACTCTACCCAACAGTCTTTTATCTACCAATACGTAGTCCGACAAACTACTGTCATTACGCCCTATATCATATCTTGTATATTTATTTATCCTCTTTTTCTTAAAATATGTATTACCTATAACCAAACCCTTTTCTATACAAACCCGTGTCGTACTGGCCAGCCATTGTGAGCGTTCGTGGTTCGTGGTTACAATAATATATAAATGCTGCTCGTCGGCTAGTACACCAAACACGGATGAGAATGAAATTAGCCTGAAAGCTCCAACACCTCCCTATGTCCTCTGGCCAAGGTAAAACACATAGCTCTGTGCTGTGTGCTTGGTTCTTGTAGGATCGGGTGGTCCTGTGGTCTAAGGCGTCATGTAGTTCTCGCTCACAATGGCTGGCCAGTACGACATGGATTCGGATCCTCGGCTAGCGCAGGGTTGTTATTGATATATATATATATATATATATATATATATATATATATATATATATATATATATATATATATATATATATATATATATTTATTATGTATATATATATATCACCGAATGAGAGAATCTTGCTGCTCCAGCGCCAAACCCTAGTGCAGCACTGGCTTACAAACAGTCAATCTGGGATAGCCCGATTGCTGGAAAGGTGCTTGCCAACATGCTCAGGGCTGCAACATCAGATAGGGAGATTGCCCGTCTCCAGGCTGTGAGTGCACCTCACTCCGGGGACTTCCTCCAAACAGTTCCCATATCGGCAATGGGAACGCGACTCGACCCTAAGACCCTCCGTATTGCAGTGGCTCTGCGCCTTTCTGCCCCAATTCACACAGAATATACGTGTATTTGCGGCGAAGTGCAAGCAGACCAATACGGTCTACATGGTCTTAGCTGTTCCAAAAGAAAGGGCTGTCATGCAAGACACAAAGAGGTCAACGACATCATTAAGAGAACCCTTGCTACAGCTGGATGTCCTTCCGATAGGGAGCCACGATCACTTGCAGCAAACAATACCCCCAACCCAGCAAACCGCCCCAACGGAATCATCATATATCCTTGGAAGAATGGCAAGCTCTTAGCATGGGACTATACCTGTGTGTCCACACTGGCTGACACCTATATCCATCACAGTGTGGGGCGACAGGGAGGAGCTGCTGACCACAGGGAGGAGTACAAGATCAGCAAGTACAGGGACATTAGCCAACAGTATCAATTAGTCCCAGTGGGATCAGAGACCTTGGGATCATGGGGAAAAATGCCACACGTTTCCTTAAAGAATTGGGTTCCAGACTCATCGACACCACAAGGGACCCAAGGGCAGCCACTTTCAAGTTCTAGCGCCTCAGCGTCGCCATCCAGAGGGGAAATGCTTGCTGCATACTTGGCTCGCATCCAGCCTCGGAGGAGCTGGAGGAAATTCATGATCTTTCATACATTGTGCCATTGCATTCATGTTCATGTTTTTTTCTGTAAATGTATTTTGTTTATTAATAAATGTTCACATAGAATATAAAAAATATAGGGGGTGGTAGGAGAAGAAAATATTCAAACAGCTCCGGGGAAAACCCTTGAGTTTTCCCTGGGTACGTTTATTGTCTTCTCTGAGGATGAGGGTCCCCATAATATATATATATTTTATATATATTATATATATATATATAATATATATTATATATATATATATATATATATATATATATATATATAATATATA